TTAATCAAAAATATCTTCATTTGTGTTCCGAAGACGAACGAAGGTCTTACGGGGTTGGTACAGCATGGGGGTGAGTAATTAATGACTTAATTTTCATTTTTGGGTGAACTAACCCTTTAATGCTTTAATTATATAAAACTCTTTGTTATACAATTGTGTGAATCTCATGAATAAATGACTTGTGGTTTACCCAAAAGAGCTTAATGAGAGCAAGTTCTGTGAAGGTACTTGGAGATTAACATCTAAGGTTCACATGCTTAGTATTACGTAGTGTTTTTGTTTGTTTGTTTCTCTTATTTAATTGGCTTTTTTACTACAGGTGGGGCAGGCCAGAGCACTTTATAATTTTGGAAATGTGTTCCACGCCAAGGGAAAGAGTGTCTGCTGGAGCGGAGCAGAACCTGGAGACTTACCTGAGGAGGTCACGACAGCACTTCAAAAAGCCTCTGAATACTACGAGTAAATCTCCCACCAACACTCACATAAGTGGACACTGTTAGCAAGAGTGGTACAGAGTATTTACATCCTCTTTCCTCTCATCAATTGTTTAGGGCGGACCTGCGTATTGTGAAGGAGCTTGGAGACCGAGCAGCACAGGGGAGAACTTACGGAAACCTGGGGAACACATACTACCTGCTAGGAAACTTCAGGGATGCAGTGGCCTCTCATGAACAGGTAAGTGTTCTGTGTCATAAATGAAACTGTAAGGCAGTGCAAAAGCACTCACACTGCACTGTGTGTGAACCGTTTGTCTTCCAGCGTCTACTTATCGCTAAAGAGTTTGGTGACCGGTCTGCAGAGAGGAGAGCTTACTGCAACCTTGGAAATGCTTGCATATTCCTTGGGGAGTTTGAGAGGGCTGCAGAACATTACAGGTGAGGGTGATATTTTTAAACTTTTTTTTTTTTGAGAGAGAGAGAGAGAGAGAGCGGCCATTATAGGTCATTACATGCCATTATAATCAGTGTCTACACGTGATGCGGTGCGACAAGAAAAATTCCCCGACAGTAAACTGATTCCCCATTCTATTTCTGACAAGACATACTCCAAGTCTTTGCGCTACAATGACTTTCGCTTCTGAGAAACCCCGAAATGTGAAAAGTAAATGTTTCTCATTAGCGAAAGTCATCATAGTGGGGTAACCTTCTATAGTGGTTAATACGAGACTACATTAAAAATACAGAAAAATTGATAATGCCATCAGAAGAGAGAAAGATTTTAATTTTACCATCACTCCCACGGCCATTGTATTAACACGTTTGATATCCACCTTATTCTGCTCTAAACAATGGGCGCCGCCATGACAACGACTCCGGTTGTCAACTTCCGGTTCGAATCTAGTCTATGCTTTTTTTGCCGTGTTTTAGATTGTGTCATCCTCACATCGCTAAACTAAATCGAAAAAAAAACATTCATCAAATGTGATCTGATCACGTTATTTTTTTTATTAAATCACAGATAAAAACAAAATGAACGTTTTTCTTTTCTTCATAACTTCCAAAGGATAGCTGATGCATGACTGCACGATCTCCCTAATCCAGCAAACATCCGACAGTTTCTATCACCCCTACTGCAGAACAGTACTAAAAGGTTAGGCTGATTAGCCCTTTGACTCCTGTCTACCTTTCCTTTCAAAGATGCATATAGTCTATATATTTCTCAGGCCTGTGAGGTTAGGCATAACGTTACGCCGAGTTTCAGACCAAAGTCCAGTTTGCGCGCTGTCGCCTCCGTCGTGATCATCTATTGTTTATATACCTCTTATTTATTAAAACCAGTCAATTGGTTGATGAAACATTGATTTAAATTAAGATTCAAATAATAAAAAACGAAATTCACTTTAAAGAAAGGTTTCTTTGTGGTTTCTCTTTAAAATCTCAGTGAAAGTTTTAAAGTCGCTTTCATAACGGTCATGTCCGTGAATATAAAACGCATGTGTCAACTGATATTTTTCTAATGTTTGGACCACTGATCTATATAATATATCATTGTATATAGATGAGTGGTCTGGACTAGTGCTAGCATTCTATGTAAACAATACTTCAACAGGAAGTGGAAAACCGTTTAGTCAGTTGAAATCATGGGAAATAGAACGGGCGCAGAATAAGGTGGATGCGTAGATTGTATTAGCGTCAGAACAATAATCTTTGTATTGATTTTTTTTTTTTTTGAACACTTTATCATATTAGCAAAATCCAATATTCCACCTCGCATTCATAGATATTGAGATACCAATACATGTTATATGATATACCAATTGATATACCAAGTTCAATACATATGCATATGCTGTACTGAAATAAAACATGTCTTGAGTATTTTAAACTTGTGGTTGCACGGTTTTGTTGTTGAATGTGTGCCCCAACCTGTTTATTTAAGTTTAAGACATGTGAATTATTTTGAGATTGTATAGGGTTTTTGTTTGATCATACGATATTATTTTATTTGTGCAGGTCTTAAAGTCTTACATTTGATTTTAAAAACCCTGTGCTGTGGTTGTGGCTGAGCTCTGACAGTGATAGTGTTGTGAGTGCAGGAAGGCTCTGCAGTTGGCTCGGCAGCTGAAGGATCTGGCGGTGGAGGCTCAGGCCTGCTACAGTCTGGGTAACACATACACACTGCTGCAGGACTATGAGAGAGCTATCGACTACCATCTCAAACATCTCATTATCGCTCAGGACCTCAACGACAGGTGCTTTCACGCATTATTAGTAGAAGACCACCTAAGAATTCATAATTGCACACAAAATTTGTGCATAATTATTTGCATACATCATGGGGAATGTGTTTTTTTTTTTTTTGCAGGATCGGTGAAGGAAGGGCCTGCTGGAGTTTGGGAAACGCACATACAGCACTAGGGAACCATGACCAGGCCATGCACTTTGCAGAGAAGCACTTAGTTATCTCAAAAGAGGTACGTACAGCTATAGACTAGACATTAGGATTTTAGCCATTTTAAATGCAAGCAAACACAACAATAGTTAAAGTGATTGTTTTTTATAGAAATGTCCTTATTGTCTTTTATACAGACTGGAGATCGTAGCGGTGAGCTCACTGCTCGCATGAACGTCTCTGATCTTCAGATGGTCCTTGGCCTCAGTTACAGCACAAACAATTCAGTCCTGTCGGAGAACAAAGAGATCGACTACAACCTGCACGGTACAGCACTTCCTTCAGAAGTAGCATCTCAGCCTCTTCTGTATAATGAAGTTGTAATGAAGAAGTTTTTGGCCATTGTCTTGAGTCAGTATTGTTGTTGTTTTTTCCAGGAGCCAGACCCAGGATGAGCCGACGGCACAGTATGGAGAACCTAGAGCTGCTGAAACTCACACCTGACAAGATCAACATGAATGTGAGTGCAGCTGATTGTTAAAATCATTATTGCGCTGTACCCTTAATTCAGTCAGTAGTGTATTTATTTGATTCATAATCAATATGTACTGTATAGTCATCATCAAGCATAAATCCATGTATTCTGATCTCAGTATCAGGATTCATAGAGTAATTGAATCTCTGTGCTTCAGGGTCAGAAGTGGACAAGTGACATCCTCTTCAAGCAGTCCAAATCCACAATGGCCAAGTCGTCCTCAAAGCTCTCTTTTGTTAATCGTTTCCGAGGAAAAAAGCACAAGCTGCAGAGCAGCTCCAGTAAAATCCTGCAGGATACCAGCAACACACGGGAAGCTCCGCAGAACAAAGTACTTTCAGCACATTTACTAAAACAAATAGAATATTCAAATTACGGTAACGATACTTGTACTGCATTTATTAATCATTGTAAATGTTAATCTCAGAATTAGATACATTTTTACATTCCATCTGTTAACGGTTAATGCACTGAACATTAACAAAAGTTAACTAATGCTGTAAAAACAGTTTGTTCATCTTAGTTAAAGGCATAGTTCACCTAAAAATGAAACTTTTGTCATAATTTATTCACGCTTAATTCGTCCAAACCTGTGTGAGTTTCTTTATTCTGTAGAATACAAAAGATATTTTGAATTATATCGGTAACCAGGCAGTTGACTGTGGCCATTGAAGGAAAGAAAAAATACTGTTGAAGTCAATGGTTACCATCAACTGTCTAGTTACCAACATTATTAAAAATATCATCTTTGTGCTCATACAGGTTTGGAACAACACGAGATTGAGTAAATCATGACAGCATTTTCAAATTTGGGTGAACTATCCCTTAAATGCATTAACTAAAATGAGATCTTACTGTAAAGTATTACCAAAATTACTTTAATTTCGTAATTGACATTACCATCACAAACTACATAACCACGTTAACTAATAACCAAAGTAGACCACAGTAAACCACAATCTTACATTCAAGTTAAGGTCTCCATTCTGGTTTGTAACGCCCATTTTTCACAACACAATCAACTACAGACATTTTTTGCTGGTCAGATCTATTGCATTGTTGGGTAGTAGTGTTATTTTAGTATTATTTATTTACTATTATTGTATATTAATATATATTTCACTTTTTTGTGTGTGGTTTTTGTTTCATTTTTTATTAGTTTTTGTTTTATTTCAGTTAGTTGCCAATACAACATTTATATTAAAGTGTAAGTCAAGTGTATTTAAGTTTCATTCAAGTGTTAGTCTAATATTTATATTTTATTTCAGATTTATTTTAATTAAAGGGTAACTAAATCCCTGGTCATAGCCTGACTCCCCTCACTGGCAATATTTGAAAAATGCTGAAAAAGTGGGCAGACCCCAGCGGAGACAGAGGGGATGAAATAGACGCTAAAACACTCTATCCTGATCGTTTTCAATACTCGCAATTCCAACTCCTGACTCGCTACAGTGATTTTGATGAAACAAGCTGGTTTTTATACTGGCGCTCGTACCAAGAGTGTGGTGAGCTGAAACCTGCGTACGTCACAAAGTGTGAACATCCAATAGGAAAATTCAACTGCAGTAGCCACCGTTCAACCTGAAGAGGGCAGCACTAAGATGTTTTTACACCATATATTGTAGAAACAGAACACTTTATACACAAATGTCAAAAAAAGTTACACAAATCAATGACTGGTATTAATAAAGATCCATTCTTACAGATCATTAACTAAAAAAAGTTGGTTTAGGGTTTAGTTGCTCTTTAAACAGAGTTTTGTAACTTTTTTATATGTACAGTACATATAAAGAAAGAAATGCATCATGTGGAGAGTAACTTGCTCTAATATTATTTCTTTGTGTTAAATTGTTAAAAACAGTTTGTTCTTGAGAAGTTAATTGCACTTCATGTGTTCTCAGTTCTTCAAAGAGGACTGAGAGGTTGTTGTTGTTGTTTTTTTTTTTCCTTTAACCTTTGACCTTTCTGCCCACAGACTGGAAGTACAGACATGTTAGGAGATGAGGGTTTCTTTGACTTACTGAGTCGTTTCCAGAGCAACAGGATGGATGACCAGCGGTGTGCCGTACAGGATGGGAGGAGCCATCTGTCTGTCAATTCTAGCTCCTCCCCACCCACCACCCCTCCCGCAACCATCAGGAAATGTTAGGCACTCTCTTTTCACATTACTTTCTTTAATTTGACAATCAAGTGGCAATAAAAATGTCATTTTCTCTGTCTCTCTCTAGCAGTCTCAGAGTCGGCTGCAACTCCAGGTCAGGAGCCGTTTCTCAGACTGTTGGCGAGTGCTCAGGGCAGGAGGCTGGACGAGCAGAGGGCAGGAACAGGAACCAGTTTGCCCGGCCTGCACACCCTATCCGAACACAGCAGCACTAGCAGCAGACGGATGATCCTCAGCCAGGTCATGGCCAGCACAGACGCCACCGAACCCGACGACCAGTTCTTTGACATGCTCGTCAAGTGTCAGGTGAGACGATGTGTTTGTGTTAACCAGAGATGGGCGTCTTGTAGGAAAATAAATGGGGAAAAATGGCTGAAGTCCATTGGTTAAATAATCCATTCATCTCATTCTGTCTCCCTCAGGGGTCCCGTCTGGATGATCAGCGGTGTGCCGCTCCTCTGCCCTCCGCCCGTGGCCCCACCGTCCCAGATGAAGACTTCTTCAGCCTCATCATGCGCTCACAGGCCAAGAGGATGGACGAGCAGAGAGTCACACTGCCCTCCTGCCGTTGATCAAACATGCAGTCCCTCTTCTGAACTTCTTATGCAGAAATGAGCTCATTTTCATGCACATGAGAGCTACAAACCACACGCTGGTCAAACACAATGATGGTCAGGTAACATCCCATCAGTCTGAACTGTGTCCTATCTGCTAAATGATTATGAATGGCATTTCTATTACAGCTATACTGAGCAAAAAAGTACTTTTGTTGTAAATAACACATTTTAATTTTTTTACTGGATTTAAGCTTTGTACATTTTAATTTGTTTTAGTTTAGGATGTATTGTTTTGATTATGATCACCATAGTGAATCACACAAATGTATCTTTTGATACAAGACTGCAGGTTTGTTTGTATTTATTGAATTAACATTGTTTCTACTATAGTGACCGTCCAGTTAGTATGAGATGTGTAATTATGACACAAATATTACTGTATTATTTTTGTAGTTACATTTTAGATTTTTAAAGAAGTGGTTAAACAAAAAATGTACCTAAAATGTCAAAGGATGATTTGGTAAGATTAATTTACTACACAACTATATAGAAATAAAACCTGTACAGAATTTTATTTTATTTTTTTGCATTCATTCACCTTATTCAGTGTTCTTATCAGTCTTGGTGATTTGTTGTTGTTTTTTTTATCTCATTTTTACAGGCTCATTTTACAGACCATTTACCTTTTCTTTAATTCCAACAATGAACATGCTTTGACTAAACTAGTCAAATACTCTCTAGTAGAGTCATTTCTCCAGTTCATTACCTGCAGATTTCATTTCACAAATCATGTAAAATAATGTTTTTTGTGAAAAATAGGCTAATGATTGCGTCATCACTACGCAACTTTCTGTCGCACAATGGAAACATTACCGTATAGACAGGAGGAGAAGCTCGCAGGCAATCGTTTACTCTCCATAGGCATTCGGGGGGACATGGAGGCATAAAGTCGAGGGAGAAGCCTTTTACTGTCTATGGGAGAAGCCTATAGATAGAGAGTCCATAAAAGCAACGGGGCCCGTTAGATATAGCTACACAAGACGAATTATATTATCTAATGTTTAACCACTAGACTAGACACATCAGAGCCAGCTGCAAACGTCAAAAGCACTAACCGAGTAACGTTAAGGCTGTGGTACACCCAGGCGGGGTGCAGAGCTCTGAGACCCCGGTAAAGGCTTGGATATCACAACTCCATTTAAAGCTCAAATCTGTGGTTTATTTATAAAGGTAGTGCCTATGTATTAAAAAATTTCATGAGACGTTTTTGGCAAAAACGTCTCATGAAATTTTTTAATACATAGGCACTACCTTTATAAATAAACCACAGATTTGAGCTTTAAATGACTACATTGTTGTCTGAAAAACTATTAAAACCAGAGAATGTCTAATTGAAGAGAATTGGCTGTGGCTGGTTCCTTCCGGTTTCTGGACTGGCTGTAGTAACACGTCTCTGTCCATGCGGGGGCGCTTGCGGTCGAGTGCAGAATGAATGGAAGTCAATGGGGTTTCACCCCCAGAAATCCACTTTTCTCAGGATGTAATTTTTTGTCAAGTAATTTGAAAGTTGCATTCAAAAAGGAGGGCTAAGATAATACACTCAGCTGAAAATTGCATTTTTAAGTTCACTTATCTGTTCTAAAAATCCGTTCAAAACTGTTATGACGTCACACAATAGCAGAATGCTAGCGTGTTCCGGCCAACAACGGCCTAACCTGTAGGAGATCAAAAGGACATAAGTACTCGTTCATTCGACTTTTGGCCTATAATCTAAATTGAACTTGTGGAATCAACAATAAAATCTATTTTGATTTAACTACAAGCAGGTGAAAGAGACACTTTTAGCCGTTTAGCTCAATAGACTCCCATTCATTCTGCACTCGCCCACGATCACCTCCAGTGGAATTCTAATGGAACTGCAACCAAGATGATACACAATGGGGCTAATAGGAAGTGCCAAGGCTCTCCGTTAGACGAGCTCTGTTAAAACTACATTTCGTGACACAGTAGAATTTTTTAAATTTCTCTCATCTGTCTATGTACGGAAGCACCAGTGACCATAGATATCATATAGAGAAATGTAAAAACACTGTAATATCGTTTATCGCATTATTTCTAGGACAATACATTGCACAACGAAAATAGTTATTGTGACAGGACTACATTGAGATTATTCTCTTCTCAATACTAATAATGTGTAACAAGTAATTTTATATTTGCAGATTCACCCGTTGTTGTAAAGCACTTTTTACCTGCTTCTTACTTGTATTTTTTTAATGTGACTTAGCAAGAATTGTAAGGTGTTCTGTTCTGTACACATATTTTACCTAATAGAAAATGTTTAAATAATAACTGTCAAATGCAACATTTTTTTCCTCTTATAAAATATATTATTGTACATTTAAACAATTGTAATAAAATACCATATAATTCGCTTTTACCTTACTTACAATGACACTGTTATATTGTTTTAATTTATTTTTAAATAGATAAAAATAACTCTTTATTCCATTCTACTTCATGGTACTTTAATATCAAAGAAATATCAGCATTCACTACAACGAATCCTGAAAACTGAAAAGCATGAGGCTGACAAATATTATTTATATACAAACATCAGGTTGACAAAAGTTACATCTGATTACATCTCATATTATTATCATGTGTGTTAAGTGTAATATAACTAGTATAATTTAAGAATTGGCTGCTTGATTTAAAATTGGATTATAAAAACATTCCAATAAATAACATGCCAGTCTTGCAGGGAATCATATGATCATGCAGAATTCTCCTTTTTTTTTCTCTCTCTCTCCAGTCTCTGGTTAGAAAGATCCTCTCAGCCAGTAAATTTAGATGAAGGAGAGAAATGGATTGTTTATTTTTCCATTCTCATGTCTGCATACTGAATGTCATAGGCAAGTGGACCATCAATAGCAAAGCCAATGTAAAAAGTCACCCTCTCTGTACTATGACCGCTATGTCCTCCAAGGTAGGTGCGTCGCACAGGGATCTTTAGCTTTCCATACTCTGCATAAAGCTCACCATGCTCCAACGTGCCGTTTACTCTGAAGAGCTTGTCTTTAATTGCCTGTTCTTTGAAAATGTCTGCATTTTGCCATAGGACATTGCGGTCTCTTACTTTACTGAAGTCGCTGTCAAGGTTTGCTTTGGAAACCAATCTTTCTAATCCATCAGACTTCCCCAGATAGAAGTGGGCAATTGGATTTCTGACTCTAAAAATGTGTGAGAGTTGCCTTCTGGAGGATTTTTTTAGCATTTCCACATATGTTGTTATTCGTGGATCAGTGTTATTTTTTCCAGGCCACAGCAACAATATAGCAAGGTAGTAAGGCTCTGGGTGTTGATGCTGTGTCCCAGCTTCTTGCAAGAGTTCTTTCAAAAGATCAGCAATTTCTCTTTGGGTTTTTGAAAGTGATGAGTTTGGTTTATTCAACTTAAGAATTATGTGGGCAAGCAAATGGTTTGTTTTGTCTTTGAGAGATTTGGAGTCACAATTCTTGTATATGAAGGCATGCTTTTCAACAATTAACTCGATCATGTTTTTTTTGAACTCCAGAAACTGAAGAATTCTTGGAAAATTGTTTGCTCTGATTTCCTCTAGGAACATTCGACATTCCTCAATTTTCATGTTCATGCTGAGATTTGGTTTACGTTTTTTCTCATTTAGTGTTTCCTCTGATGAAGAGCAAAACAGGGAGATGTATTTTTTAAAGTGCTCAGAGAGCTTTTCCCTGTTCTTAAACTGCTTTTCTTTGTCAACGATGCCCTTTTCTCTTGTGTAAGTGAAGAAAACTTCAAGGAAATCAAAGGCTTTGTCTACGTGTGTCTTCAAAGACCAAAGGAATGGTTCATACTCCTTAAGAATATCAACCCGTTTGTTGTTAGCATCATTCTTGAAAATGGGAAAGTTTGTTATGGACATTTTTCCTTTGAAAAACTGCTGAATGTAATAATCTTTCATGTGGTCCCCCTCCTCGAACAACGGCAGACCCCTTACAATGTCAAAGACTGTCATAGCAATGTCAATCTCGCTCATGTGTCCAGATATGTTGTAGGTGTTTGGTTTCCTATGAAATGTCTCTTTCAGATCTGTCTCATCCAGATCTGTCTTTGCCAAGATTTGGGCCCTCTGGAAAGCTTTTATTGCTGCATCAGCTAGATTGAGATATTCATTCAAGTCATCAGGTGTGGATGTTTTGTTCTCTTGCTTTTTGCAATCAATTTTATGTTTTAGCTCACTTCTAGAGACCTGTCCAACTGTGTCAAGTGTATATGAATTCTCTTTGATGGTTTTAGCAGTATTTGCCCAATCCTTTGCTAATTCAAAGTTCTTTTCATTCAGATAGAAATGTCTTGCTAAAGCTTGAGGAATTACAAAGTCCTTATCAAATCGCCTTGATGCCTCTGTAAAGATGTCCTGGATTTTTTTTAGTCCGTCATTCTGTTTATTGATGTCCTCTATCAAAAGAGAAAAGAGTGTGTCTTTCTCATCACCTTCTGTCTTGCGTTGTCGTGTGATTAGCATGCTTTTTACTGACTGCAAGAGGTTGTCTTTTCCTATCCCACTTTTAAAAAACAAGTCAAAATGCAGCATATTTTGGACTATGTCAGATCTTGGGATTTTGTGTGTCTCTTCTAACTCTTTGACACACTCTGTTGCAATACGTTGATGAACAAAACGTATTGCTTTGTACACTCCACATTCCTCAACTTCAAACTCAATTAGCAAGCAGGACTGAGGTTCCATTTCATCCAAAACTGTTTGCTTCATCCATAAATTTCTTTTAATGCCAAGAAAATCCTCACACAGGGACACAGAAATCGCTGATTCAGCCACATAGGAATTCAGTAATGCCAGAATTGAGAAAAGTTGTGCTCGTCTGTCAATTTCAAGATCTTTCAGAATATTACGAGTAACATTTGTGACATAGTCTTGACTGAAGTTTGTTTTCATGATCATGAAACTATAGAAATTTTCTGGTTTTTCATGCGTTTTTTGCAGTTCCTTTAGTTTCATCTCAAAGGCATCCATTTCTTCTTTAGATAGTGTTGCTGTGATGTACTGACTCTCAATGACACTGTTTGAGTATCTTACTTTTGGGGTTTTTGAACGTAAACAGTTTAGTACGACCACAAGTGCATTTGGAGAAATTTCCTCAAGAGTTTTTCGTATACAGTTTTGAAGTTCCACTGTATTTTCCGTCTCTTCGGAGTCATCAACTAATAAAAGTACTGGCGTTGTCTGTGAAGTCTCGTTTTTTCCACACCTTACCAAGTAGGCAACTTCTTGTGCTACATTAAGCTTAGAAACGGTGTTGTCTTTCAGAACTGCACAACGAAAATCTTTCCTCAGGTTCCACATTACATGCATGGCTAAAGTGGTGCCCCCACAACCAGGGTGATGAAAAAGGTTTACCATGATGCATGTGCTTGTTGGATTTTTGGTTTTAGTTTCGATCATACGTTTAAGTTGATCATATTTGTCCCGTTTTATGAATGGTTTTGATGTATTTTTTTCTGAGAAATAGAAATTCCACCATTTCACTTCGTCACCTCTGTAGAATTCAGCTTCTGTTTTGATTTGTAATTCTTGGAATTCTGGACTATTCTCATCTAACACATTCTCACACTCATTTTCACAAAGGATCTTAAGAGAGGGCATCAGGTCCTCATCGTTCTGTTTGAGAATCACTGAACTTCCCTCAGCAGATGGAAGAAGTTTCAGAGCATTTTGCTTGTTCTGGCCCAGTTTCAGTATTGTCCCATTGATTTCACTGAGCTCCAGGTCATATACACTCCGGTGACTGATGTCATGTTCACATCTGGTTTGAATGAAATCCTTCCACATTTGAAAGGAAGCATCTGAAGTACAAATACATAAAATGTTCTCTGTACCCCCAAGGTTTTTATAAAACGACATGAATGTGTCAAACATTGGATCATTCATGGCCTCAACCGTGGAGAGTAGGAGGAATATGACTAAGAATCGTCCTCTTCGAAGAGTATCACGGTTGCAGAGGAATGAAATCATGTCTTGTACCTCTCCTGCTTTGTGTATTAACCATTCACTTGGTCTGAGTGGTTGCTCAGATTCAGTGTCGATGTCTTCTCTGCCATTACGGTGAAGTAAACATCTAGATGCTTTGCTACAAGCCGCCTCTGTAGGACCGACTAAACCATGACACAGACCTTCTTCAGAGATGGTATTCTCGGAGCATCCACATTGTTGGAACTCTTCTGCATCATCAGCAGGGGTCTCAGGGTCTCAGGTGTTTCGCCCCTTAACCTGAACACCTCGCCTGAGTGGGGCCGTGAAGACTGACTAGCCTTCACCTGCAGAAGGGCTCCAACTGTGGGCTCTTTTCAGCCACAGCCATCTTGAGCTAGACTCGGCTGCTTCGGCTATGTCCCTGGTAGCTTCCTTCAGCTGTTTATACTCCAGGCCCATCCTCTGGAGGAAGTAGCGCACCGATTTTGCTGGAAACCCGCGGCACCCGACTTCAATGGGGTAGCTGGTTGCATGCCATCCCTTTACATTGGCTTCGTCAATCAGATCTTGGTACTTCGCTTTTTTTAGTTGGTGTGACGTGGCTAGCCTTTCCTCCCAGGGCACCGTGAGCTCAGCAACTATGATGGATTTCGTGCTCCTGGATAGCAGAACCATATCTGGTCGGAGGGAAGTCGCTGCCACGTCCTGTGGGAAGACAAGCTTCTTCTTCAGGTCTACTCTTAATTCCCAGTCGGAGGCTCGTTGCAAGGCGGAGGGTGGGTTCTTGGCCACCATGCCGGTCTTATGGGCCTTGTCTCCTTCCCTCACAAAGGTTGTGACTTGGGGCGGGCAGGCCTGCTTGTTGTTGGCTTTGACTCGCTGCTGTTCCACCCATTTGGCAATTTCCGCGAGGACTTTGTCGTGCCTCCATCTGTAACGGCCCTCTGCCAATGCCCTTGGACACCCGGCCAGAATGTGGTTCAGCGTACAGGAAGCTGCTCCACATTGGTTGCAAGATGGGTCTTCCCCTCCGCCCCAGATCTTTATATTGCTTGGTGTTGGCAGCAGGTCAGCCACTGAGCGCAAGAGAAAGCTTAACTTCCCCTGGTCGATTTGCCACAGATCCTTCCAAGACAATGGTCGCTCCTGTGCCTGGTCCCACTGCGTCCATCGACCCTGAGAAGCAAGTCCAATCGCCTTCACCTGACGCTCCTCCTCTGCTGCCTCACGGACTCTTTGCACCACGAGACCTCTCCTGGCTCTGGTATCAGCCCGGCTCCACCTCTTCTCACTATAGTGTCCAAGGCCCAGGCGTCCCTGGCATACCACGCCTACGATTTCCTGGTGTTTCCAGTAGGATTCTGCTTCCATTACGGCTTGCTGAGGCTTCCACTTTCTGCCACATTTAATGGTCTTACTTGCGTGCCTTACTTTCCCATCTTTAGATGAGAGCAGTGTACTGACTGCCCTTGCTTTGGTGGCTTTAAACTCCTCGGCCACCGACGAGACTGGCAAGGGAAGTTTACAAGTCTTGCTATACAGGTTGACTGCGCTGAATGATGGGGGGACTCCCAACCATTTCCGCAAGTACTTGCTGCACAGTCTTTCCATTCCTTCCACCTGGGACATGGGAAAGTCGTAGAGTAGAAAGGGCCATTTTAGCCGGGGTATGATGCCATACTGGAAGCACCAGACTTTGAATCTCCCGAGCAGTTGGCTGTGCTCGACTGCCTTGAGCCAGATGTTCAGCTGGGCCTTGGTATTAGTGAGGTTGCCACTGTCCTTTAGGGAGCTGTCGTACTGCTTTCCAAGGCATCGGATCCTTTGATCTTGGATTGTTGGGATATCCGAGCCTTGGATGTTGAAAATGTTTCCTGTTAGCTTCCCCTTCAAGATAGTGAGACTCCTTGACTTTTCTGGTTTGAACTGCAGGCGTGACCATGCTGCCATCTTTCCCAGTGCACTCAGGATCCATTGTGTCCCCTGAATAGATGGAGTCATCACTGTCACATCGTCCATGAAAGCTCGACAAGCAGGGTGTCTCGTTCCATCGACTGCTTTCGGGCCTCTGCACTGCATTCCTCCTGCCTTCAACAACAGATTCATAGCCGCTATAAACAGGGCCACGGAAATCGTGCATCCTGCCATGATGCCCTTCTCGAGCCTTTGCCATTTAGTGGTGACGCTTCCTATGGTGAACCTCATCTGCAGCGCATCCATGTGTGTCATTATGAGCTCGACTACCGCTGAAGGAACTTGGTAGTAGTCCATTGCCTTTCGAATCAGCTGGTGCGGGACACTTGGGTAGGCTTTGGCGAGATCCAGCCACACAACGGAGAGAGTGTTGTTGTTACTTCTGGCTTCGTTAATCAGCTGGCTAATCGCTGCCGTGTGCTCTAGGCAGCCTGAATATCCCGGTATTCCACCTTTTTGGATGCTGGGGTCAATAAACTCGTTGGCGAGCAGGTATGTTGTTAGCCTTTTCGCGATGATAGACCAGAATATTTTCCCCTCTACGTCCAGTAGGGAAATCTCCCGGAACTGTTCAAGTCTTGTGGAATTTAGCTCTTTTGGCACAAAGCAACCTTCAGCGAGGGTCCAGAGCCCGGGTTCCAGCTTCTTCTTCCACAGCGTCCGTAGGAGCTTTGAAAGCCTTTTCAGCAGCTGTGGGCAGCATTTGTAGATTTTGTAGGTGGTTCCTGATGGTCCTGGCGCTGATCCGGCTCTTGCTTTTCCCACCACTGCACTTACTTCATCCATGGTAAAGTCCGCCATGCTAAAGGGGTGTGTGGTGAAAGAATCGGCAGTTGGAAAGGGCATTCACCCAGAGGGATACTTCTGGAGGAGTCTCCATGTGCACCCGCCACACTGTCTTCTATTTCCTCCTTTGTACATGCCAGGGTCCCACCCTTCGGCTTTCCTAGTAGGTCCACTGTGAATTGGAATGGGTTGTTGAAAAAGGCTTTCCTCTTTCGGCGCTTCTCCCTCTGCTTCTCCCGCATGGTCTCAGCTCTCCGAAGCTGGATTAACCTTTTCCGCTTTTCTCTGCTGATCTCATCCAGGGCAACTCTTTCCTCATCACTTGCTTCCCGCCACCTTCTTTTAAGTGTCCTTAATTCTCCTCGAAGTTCTTTGATCTGCCGCTGTCTCCTGCTAGGCCCTGCTGGTGGCCTTGGAGTCTTGCGTTCTTTTTCGCCAAAAGTGTCATGGCACACCTGGTACACAATGTCCACCATGATCTTGATCTTCTTGACTGCGTCTCCTTTCAGAGTGTTTTCCAGGGTGATATTTAAATCGTCGTCCAGTTGGGCCCATCGGCAGTCTGTTGCTGGTGGTAAGTTCAAGCGTGGTTTCCTCTCAAAGTCTTTTGGACTTTCAGGTTCACCGACTCTCTCTGTGCTCTGAGTAGGTTGAGCAGGGAGGTCTGGGGCACTGTGGTTTGCCTCCTGGCCCTGGTCCTCCCCCACCGACTGATGAACACCCTTAACAAACTCAGAGAGGTTACTCTGCGTAAGCTTGGGTGCTCTGCGTTGCTGACTCTGCTCTTTGCACTTAGACTTGCCTTGGTGGATTTTAACACCGCGCTCGTTCTTGAAAAGCCCTCCGCAGATGTCGCATCTTCTTTTGGCTTCGACCTTCTGTCTTTCTGCATCCAATCTCGTAGTCCTTTTTCCATTGTCCGGGTCTTTAACCATTGATCCGTCCGATGGCAGATTATCCTCCCCCCCTCCTCGGTCCGCCTGGGGGTATTCTCTTTGTTCGAAACTCGTAGCTTTTTGTGCAGTGCTTCGGGGTGCTAACCCTGACACTATTGCGTGCCGTCTTTCCGAGCTGTCATCCGTCCTTTCCCGGATGTCCGTGGGTCTTCCCCCACCGCCAATGGGCCTCTCCCCATGGTCTCGACAATAAGGTGAAGTAAACATCTAGATGCTTTGCTACAAGCCGCCTCTGTAGGACCGACTAAACCATGACACAGACCTTCTTCAGAGATGGTATTCTCGGAGCATCCACATTGTTGGAACTCTTCTGCATCATCAGCAGGGGTCTCAGGGTCTCAGGTGTTTCGCCCCTTAACCTGAACACCTCGCCTGAGTGGGGCCGTGAAGACTGACTAGCCTTCACCTGCAGAAGGGCTCCAACTGTGGGCTCTTTTCAGCCACAGCCATCTTGAGCTAGACTCGGCTGCTTCGGCTATGTCCCTGGTAGCTTCCTTCAGCTGTTTATACTCCAGGCCCATCCTCTGGAGGAAGTAGCGCACCGATTTTGCTGGAAACCCGCGGCACCCGACTTCAATGGGGTAGCTGGTTGCATGCCATCCCTTTACATTGGCTTCGTCAATCAGATCTTGGTACTTCGCTTTTTTTAGTTGGTGTGACGTGGCTAGCCTTTCCTCCCAGGGCACCGTGAGCTCAGCAACTATGATGGATTTCGTGCTCCTGGATAGCAGAACCATATCTGGTCGGAGGGAAGTCGCTGCCACGTCCTGTGGGAAGACAAGCTTCTTCTTCAGGTCTACTCTTAATTCCCAGTCGGAGGCTCGTTGCAAGGCGGAGGGTGGGTTCTTGGCCACCATGCCGGTCTTATGGGCCTTGTCTCCTTCCCTCACAAAGGTTGTGACTTGGGGCGGGCAGGCCTGCTTGTTGTTGGCTTTGACTCGCTGCTGTTCCACCCATTTGGCAATTTCCGCGAGGACTTTGTCGTGCCTCCATCTGTAACGGCCCTCTGCCAATGCCCTTGGACACCCGGCCAGAATGTGGTTCAGCGTACAGGAAGCTGCTCCACATTGGTTGCAAGATGGGTCTTCCCCTCCGCCCCAGATCTTTATATTGCTTGGTGTTGGCAGCAGGTCAGCCACTGAGCGCAAGAGAAAGCTTAACTTCCCCTGGTCGATTTGCCACAGATCCTTCCAAGACAATGGTCGCTCCTGTGCCTGGTCCCACTGCGTCCATCGACCCTGAGAAGCAAGTCCAATCGCCTTCACCTGACGCTCCTCCTCTGCTGCCTCACGGACTCTTTGCACCACGAGACCTCTCCTGGCTCTGGTATCAGCCCGGCTCCACCTCTTCTCACTATAGTGTCCAAGGCCCAGGCGTCCCTGGCATACCACGCCTACGATTTCCTGGTGTTTCCAGTAGGATTCTGCTTCCATTACGGCTTGCTGAGGCTTCCACTTTCTGCCACATTTAATGGTCTTACTTGCGTGCCTTACTTTCCCATCTTTAGATGAGAGCAGTGTACTGACTGCCCTTGCTTTGGTGGCTTTAAACTCCTCGGCCACCGACGAGACTGGCAAGGGAAGTTTACAAGTCTTGCTATACAGGTTGACTGCGCTGAATGATGGGGGGACTCCCAACCATTTCCGCAAGTACTTGCTGCACAGTCTTTCCATTCCTTCCACCTGGGACATGGGAAAGTCGTAGAGTAGAAAGGGCCATTTTAGCCGGGGTATGATGCCATACTGGAAGCACCAGACTTTGAATCTCCCGAGCAGTTGGCTGTGCTCGACTGCCTTGAGCCAGATGTTCAGCTGGGCCTTGGTATTAGTGAGGTTGCCACTGTCCTTTAGGGAGCTGTCGTACTGCTTTCCAAGGCATCGGATCCTTTGATCTTGGATTGTTGGGATATCCGAGCCTTGGATGTTGAAAATGTTTCCTGTTAGCTTCCCCTTCAAGATAGTGAGACTCCTTGACTTTTCTGGTTTGAACTGCAGGCGTGACCATGCTGCCATCTTTCCCAGTGCACTCAGGATCCATTGTGTCCCCTGAATAGATGGAGTCATCACTGTCACATCGTCCATGAAAGCTCGACAAGCAGGGTGTCTCGTTCCATCGACTGCTTTCGGGCCTCTGCACTGCATTCCTCCTGCCTTCAACAACAGATTCATAGCCGCTATAAACAGGGCCACGGAAATCGTGCATCCTGCCATGATGCCCTTCTCGAGCCTTTGCCATTTAGTGGTGACGCTTCCTATGGTGAACCTCATCTGCAGCGCATCCATGTGTGTCATGTGTGTCACAAAATACCCAACTTGTTTGTTTGTACAAGTTTAGATTTTTCACAACTATTCCTGGATCTCCATTGAACTGACTTGGCATGTGAAGGTTTGCAAATCGAACTTGTCTATAGTTGTTGCAGGACCCATTTACTACAGAGTTAGCATCATAGTCAAGTACACAGAACAATCTCAATATTGTCATGAACTGAAGATGCTGGAGTTGTTCAGGGTGGCTTTTGTTTGTAACAATGATGAAGTATTCATAATTGTCCAGTTTGCCGCTTCCACATGTTATCAGATTCTTCAGCTTTTCCCCCTGGTTTGATGTTCCCTTGCTTTCAGGCCTCTTTTCTGCCTCTTTCCTCCTGTCATCCAGAACATTTATTTGGTTAGTTATTCTTGTCAGTTCATCTTGTAAGTCTTTTTGATTCCCAATTTTATAGATATCTCGTGTTGCCGCTCCATCTCTGATGAAGAGTGATTTTCCTTTGCTCCTTTTCCATTGATTGTCCTCATCCAGAGTCTGGATAGCAAACAACTTACCCTGAACTATGCTGTGTGATGGAATAACATCCACCTCTATGACATATTTGCCAGATAGAGTGCCGTCAGGACAGAGGACTTCTACAAAGCGTGGCTGCCTGATGCATGCCTTTGCATCATCTGTGTGCTCTTCAAAGTACGATTTAATACCCTGATTAAAGTGATCAATGATGGTGTCCTTCTTGTCAAGACTGACCCCAATGATCTCAGCATGAGCGTATAGAGAGTCTTTGGAGTCCGCTACACCAAAGTGGATGGTTCCATTTGTACGGCTGTTCATACAACCAGCAGCAAAACGAAACACCTCTTTGTTGAACTTTTTCTTCATCACATTCATATCATCTGTTCTGCCCATAAACTTATACTCATGAACTGGATCTGTCAGATTACCGGGTCCGGTCTCTGGTGGTAAAGTGTAGTTTTGAATATATCGATGAGAAGCAGAATTCTGATCAAATGGATGGAGAGTACATGAGGGCTTTAAGGATCCAGACTTCTTTATGTCCTTTTCTGTTTCAGCTACTTTATCAGCACTGATGTCCAATGTTTCAGGGTCAGCTGACTCTGTTAGTTTGGTTTCTTTGAAAGATGTACAACTTGAAGTTCCTGAAAGTGGATTGGTTTTATTTTGTGAAGGGGATGCCCTTACAGGTTCATTTGGTTGTGGGTATTCTATTGGAGTGTTTCTTTGAGAGAGGTCATCCATTGAATCTTTTCCCATAGAATTAGTCCTTCTAAATTCAGAATTTTCTTTTTTGTGTGATTTTCTCTTTGATTTTTTTGCACCTTTGAATATTTTTGTTTGATCTGTTGAAGCTCTGTCTTTGTTTTCCACTGTTGTCTTTGGTCTGGCCTCTATGTGTTGTGTGTGGGAATGGTCAGAAGAATATGATACTTGTTCTTTCATTTTTAACTTCTCTAACCGGGTGATAATCTTAACAGCTGGACCATGCTTAATACCAAGATCCTGCAGATGTTTGAGCTCGTAACAGACTAGTTCTTCCCCTGAGACTTCTTCTTCGTACAGCTTATCTGCATGTATTTTTTTCACTTGAATCAGCTCAGTCAGCCAGTAGTAAACTTCATCTCTCGTCCACTCTTCCACTCGAAGAGGAAGTTGTGTATGTTGACTTATTGTAGCCATACTATAACAAAAAGGAAAAAAGTGTGATTTCTATGCAGTAAACAACAGTCAAATGCACATACCAATGTAATGTTGAAAGTATAATAAGCAAGGGCATTTTAACTTTTGCCATACTTGAGCTGTATGCATGTATGTATATTGATCAATGTTTTGTTTATATTTGAATGAAAGCTTACTTTAAATGTTTATCATATAAGGTAATCATGTCTCTGCAGAAGATGACTTAGACTTAAAAGGCTCCATTCATATTAATCAATATAGGGACAAAAACTCTTAGTTTTCATTCAATAAAAATATCTTAAATGTGTTTTTAAAGATGAACAGAAGTCTTATGAGTTTGGAACTAGATGAGTGCAACATATATTGTTTAGATAAAGAGAGTGCATCCATACACTGCGTGATGTAGTCTAGTAAGTTAGACTAGGCTCAATTAGAGTGCATGCTTTAACTGCTTGATTTAGTCTTATAAAATGCATTTAGAATGCCTCCAATACTCAAAATAAGGGGGCAAAAATACATCTGTATGTCTTTTATATTTAAATAATTTAATATGGTTAATCAATATAACGTAAAGAGGGCCGTATTTTCTCCAAATATCAGCTTGATTTCAAATGTCAGTTTGATTTTATACAACTTGTTCAATAAGCTTGTTCTTGTTTATACATATTGTTCAATAAGCAAGAATTTTATATTAAGTGACTTACATTTTAGACAGAATAGCAATAGCCTGTTTTTGTTTTATTTTACCAATGAAAACAGTTCCAAACAAAGCCACAAGACTGTGTTGCATCTCTGAGCAACACACTGCGGTGAATAAATGAATTGTTTGAGTTAATGATTCAATGACTCCTTTATTAAGACCTAGCTTTGTTCCTGAATTGAAACTCAATGGGTCCTATTTCAACGATGAACGATCTAAGCACATGTTCTAAAGCTCATAGTGCAAGTGCACACAGGGTGTGTCCGAATCCACTATTGCTAGTTTAATGGAAAAAGGTCGGTGTACCTGCGCATTGTCTAAAAGGCTTGTCCCTATTCTCTTAATAAAAGTAATGGGTGTGTTTTGGGCGTAAATGAGCAATAAACCAATCAGAGTCTCATTTCTAGTTGTGTTTGCTGCATGGCAGATTCGCTATATACATGGCGGAAAAACAGAACGCTTCCCCGGAAATGGATCAGCACGTGCGTGATGCTAAAACGCAATCGGACCATCGTAATTCCCGAGATTTCCTACATGTGCGTTCCGTGTGCATGTGTGATGCTGATGTTGCGTGATGTTAATCATGCGGTGTAGGAACAACATTAAGACAGTAGCCTATATTTTACATATTTGTTTAATGGCATATTTTCTGAAGGAAGACCAGTATCACTGATACCAAAGTCTCTATGAAATAAACATTTTCCTAAATTTTAGCCATTAAGTATAGGCTTTTAGCATTAGTTAGTATTGTTTCAAATGGACTCTGCGGAAGGAAAGAAGCGACCAGCCTCCAGCACAATCCAGACACCCACGGAAACTCCTCGTTAAGTGAATTTATAATAAACTTTACATAAACCCAATTTCACGAGTTCACATATACATTTAGATAAAGCAGGCTAAAGGTTATGTGGATATGGCGTGATGTCCGTTTGTAATAGGAATAGTTCGAACTAGAATTAAGGAGATGGGATATATATATATATATATATATATATATACATCTTATCGTTAATAAAGTTGATTAACTTCTAATCCTCTCCTTTCAATTAGGTTAATAATCTTAACCTGCACCTCCGCAACTTTGTTAAATGATAATCCCGGCATTTTGAGTCTATTCTAGTTTGTTTTGGATGAACTAGAGTGGTGAACACAGAAATTTTGATGATGGGTCCTGTCTCGACTTTTTGACTATTTTAGAATCGCCTCTGACTGCTTGAGAGTGGTTGTCTACGAGCATACTCAAACACGTCCTTATTAACTGAGTGCTTAATAGTGTTCGTTGATGATTAAAAACATCAGTGCAATGATTTCAATCCATGTTATTTGCTATAGTGGAACTATTTTTTCAGATACCTCACAACTGCGTATCAACTTCCGCTCGATATTTGAGTCTGAAGCGTTAGCATACTCCCGACCACTTCATGGCAACAACCACTTTGCCGTACAAGAACGCTGTACAGAACACGGAGTATAGCGCATAGACCTTCTGATACCCCTTTTCCACCAAGGCAGAGCTGGAGCTGGTTCGGAGCCAGAGCCTAGTTTCAAATCGGTTCTTTGTTTTTCGACCACCAAAGCACCAGCTCCGAACCAGTAAAAGTGGTTCTTAAGTAGCACCAAATCATTGCTGGTCTAGAAGTAAGAACCGCTTACGTCAGTCAGCGGCTTGGGGCGGGGTTACTGTTACCAACAAGACGAATAGAAACTTGTGACCACCATTTTTTAAATAGCAGCTAATCATGCTAATAGCAGCTCGAATGTTATCTCCGTTAATGCAAGTTACGGTGAGCTGCACGGATGTGCTGTATTCACCGTGTTTAGATACCGATATAGGTTTGCAAAGCCATGAACATAAATAGTAACACAACAACCACCAATGTTGATGGAAGGCTTGTTCGAGATGCATCGGAGTAGCGTGGACTGATCGGAGCTGCGGGAGTGTTTGGAGAGTTTACGACTCCTGCTTTTGAATCGAATCTTTTTCTATAGTATATTTTTTTCGAATCGCTCTCGCAGTTTGAGATTCACAGTGCCGAACCATCTCGAACAAGCCTGATGTGTTTGTGTGTGCCGCGCTAGCATTGCTGGGCAACATGAGATGTATACAGTGACGTATGCGGGGGTGCTTGCAGACGAGTACAGAATGAATGGGGGTCTCTGGGGTTTCATCCCCAGAAATCCACTTTTCTCAGGATGTAATTTTTTTATTTAATACTAAAATAATACACTCGGCTGAAAATTGCATTTTTAAGTTCACTTATCTGTTCTAAAAATCCGTTCAAAAATGTGATGACGTCACATAATAGCAGAATGCTATTATGCTATTAATCGATCTATAATCTGTCTATAAGACCTATCTATAATAGGTCTATAATCTATATTGAACTTGCGGAATTAACAATAAAATCTACGTTGATTCAAAGACAAGCAGGAGAAAGGGATACATTTAGCCGTCTAGATCCTTAGACTCCCATTGATTCTGCACTCGCCCACGATCACCTCCAGTGGAATTCTAATGGAACTGCATTCAAGATGATAAATCGGGCTAATAGGAAGTGCCAAGACTCTCCATTGACGGACTCTGCTACAACCAAATGTAAACAGACCCCTTTCTGTTTCCGGTAGCGCAGTAATATCAACGAGTCCTGAACAGACATCAATGGAATATTACAAAATGGCAAATAAAACAAGTCAGAAACTGTTACGCTACTTGTTTTGAACATCAACGAACACCACTAACCACTCGGTGAGTTGCACAGTTTTGAAAACTAATGTTAAGGTTTTTTTAAGGACATGTTTGAGTATGCTCGTAGACAGCCACTCTGAAGCGGTCAGAGGCGATTCTAAAATAGACAAAAAGTCGAGACAGGACCCATGTGTTCACCACTCTAGTTCATCCAAAACAAACTAGAAAATTGACTCAAAGTGCTACATACCGGGATTATCCTTTAATAAAACTTCATATAATAAATGTCAGATTTACCTGTGCCCTTCAGTATATCAGGACTAAATTGTTTCTGTTGGCCCATCCCCAGTCAGACTGATGTTATATTTATGATGTCATGTATTTATGATGTAATTTATATTGATTAATTTATGATGTCATACAACTTTCTTGTTGAAGTAGGGGTGGGGGGCGGCAGCTGAGTGTGACTTCATATTGTGACCGTTGCAGTGTGCGTAGAAAGAATGTGTCTGCTCTACTCCTGGGCGCATTTAATGTAGTGTAAACTGCTCAATATTTGATTTATTATTTGAACTACATGGAACAAGAAGGCTGCACAATGGATGACACCCGCTTTTGAAGTGGAGAAACAAAGTTCCCTTTCAGTCGTTCATGTTTGACGTAGTCGACGTCGACTAAATGGAATCACGCTTAGGGGCAGTTGCAGTTGGACGGGTTCCCAACTCCATTGGCACATCAACTGCCTCCAGTTGCTAGCAGTACACCTTGCTTTGAGATGCCTCAAAACACCAATTCTCAGCAAGCAAGTACTGGTCCGCTCGTATGTCGCAACTAGCCCGTCACCTCCTCCTATGAAGTCAGAAGCATCTAAGGTTGCTTCATACCACATATTCCTGGCCTGCTTAATCATGCCGCTGACAAGCTCTCACGACAGCCTGTGGCCCAGGCATAGTGGATACCTAGGCGGTCCAGTTGATCTGTTTGCCTCTCGTCTCATTGCCAGTAGTTTTACACACAAGTATGAGTGTCCCCCAGTGAGCCTTCTTGCACAGACACTGTGCAAAGTCAGGGAGGAAGTGGAGCAGGTCTTGCTTATTGGCCCAACTGGACCTGATCCCCAAACGAATGCTCATCTCGACAGCCCCTCCCTGGCCCATTACTCTTAGGGAGTAGCTTCTCTCTCAGGGACGGTGCACCGTATGGCACCCGTGTCCAGACCTTTGGAAACTCCATATCTGGTCCCTTGACGGGACGCGAAGGTTCTAGGTGATCTACCACAATCAGACGTAGACAACATCATTTCTTCGAGAGCACCCTCTACGAGGCATGCTTACGCTCTGAAGTGGAACCTGTTCCTGAAACTTCTCTGGCCTAAGCCTTGTCCCATCTCCGCCTCAATAATGCGGGATGATCATAAGGCTTTTGTCTAGGCACTGAAATTTGGGCAGCACTAGTGGCGTTTTCTATGGTAAACCCATTCAGTCGACGTCGACTACTTCGAACGTGAGCAACTGAAATGGAATGTCTTGATTGCGTGTACGGTATACAACCCTTGTTCCCTGAAGGAGGGAACTTAAAAATCCATTTAGAAGTAATGCTTTGAATAATACGTTGTTTATATGTAGTGCTTTAACATGAATAAGTCTATAATATACTGTATAACTGTACTGTGTACAGAGAATTGCAAAACATTTTTAGTAACAACTTTTGGATTTGAAATAAAAAATAATGAATAAATGTTGTGTTTGTGGTATACACCCACGGATTAGTTGCACACTGCAAATGCGTCATATTTGAAAGCACATGAATGGGTGCTGCTCCTGCACAGCATATGTAGGCTACTGCAACACGCACCACATATGCACTGCAAGTGGAGTGTGTGTGAAACAGGCGTTACTCATTTAGGCATTTACCGCCACTTTCTGGCAGTTTCAGTTAAAAGTTTCATTATTTCGTTAAAAAATGATTGCATATTTTGGGGATTATTTGCCAAAAAAATTTAATCAAACTGTTTTGGTCTGTAAATATATCTAAAGACCAATTCAGACCCAGTTTGTTTTTAAATATAGTTATTTATTTCTATCTTTATACACAGTATTTCTCCTTACCGCTGTCTGCCTGCCATGCTTTTCTATCAACCGCTGTATGCAATTTAAAAGAGCGTGTGACATCATAGCAATAAAAAATGACATCATCCATTGCAATGAGGTCAACCCTGCCTTACTCTTAAGAGTTCTGTTGTAAAACTTCCTTCTAAGTGCTTTTGCACATAGGTTTTAAGCTAAAACTAGGAACTCTTAGGACACCTATTGGTAAGATAAAATGGTGTGAATACGGCACCTATTTTTTCATTGGTTTGGTTTTTACAATTTTGTTTCTCTTTTTATGACCGTGTTCAATATGTCTTTTGCAACACTAAAATCTAAATGAGAGTTTACTCGATTACGATGATTATGATGTATTTTTAATATGTATTGTTAAAAATATTCAAATTATATGAGTACACTAAAATATTACTTGAACTCAAAAAGTGATGTTATTTTGAATCAGGTCAATTTTTTGACTTTCAAATACATTTGTCCAGTAGTTTGTCCATTCATTTTATGAAGACAGACAAAATTAAACTTGTGTTTATGGTGTTTAGCATCATGCTATAAATAAAAATCGTGTGTAGGAAGTAAAATATATAAAAATAGTATGTTCTGTTGTTTATCTTACCTCTTGTGGAGTATGAAACACTTTAAGCTCTGTCCATCCTTGTTTTTTCTCAGCTGACAAGACAAATTAAGACAAAGATACACTGTAAAAACCAATTAGTTCAGTTTACTTATTTTTTTTATGCAAACTCGTTGCCTTAATTTCGTTAAGTAAGTACAACTTAATTGCATAAAGTTATTCTTACTTAAAGGTATTCGCCTTATTCACTTGGCGGCCATTTTGAAAATGGAACGCCGCTGAGGGGTACACTCACCCGGAAGGATGCATGCGACGCAGCAGCACCAGCAATGAAAACTCGCAATGCGGACCACCAATCATTCCTGTCTGCCCGAATTAACGATGCAAAATGTGAAGCAAAGTGCCAGTGACTGAAACATCCCCCGGGCTGTGTTAATTAAGGGATACAGTACCTGTATCGGAGGTTTTATCCACGACATTGAACGTAAGAATGGACGCCTTGCCAGTTTCTGCGAGCTTGCAGCAGCCAGAGGTAATTAACGTTAGTAAGCTAAGCTGTAATATGGAGTTGTTGACTGTGTAAGTTACTATGTTAGATACAATTGTACTTTATTGTTTAGATAGATACACATCCAGTAGCTTACATACACACACATGCATGTAAAACAATCAAATCACTCACATGTATGTAAAAGGAAAGAGGAGAAGTGATTTTAAGGTCTGACAGGGACTGATCCTGTTACACACTGACAATGATAAGCTGCTATTGTGACAATACAAGTTTACATATATGTATAGATTCATAAAGAATAAAAATAATGATGGTAATGGATTTGTATAGATTCTAATAGTACACAGTCAACTTCCTACAAGCTTGCAGAAACTGAGGTAAATTGGCGTCCATTCTTACGTTCAATGTCGTGGATAAAACCTCCGATACAGGTACTGTATCCCTTAATTAACACAGCCCGGGGGATGTTTCAGTCACTGGCACTTTGCTTCACATTTTGCATCGTTAATTCGGGCAGACAGGAATGATTGGTGGTCCGCACTGCGAGTTTTCATTGCTGGTGCTGCTGCGTCGCATGCATCCTTCCGGGTGAGTGTACCCCTCAGCGGCGTTCCATTTTCAAAATGGCCGCCAAGTGAATAAGGCGAATAGCGGAGGATTTTCTTTTTCCGGGTGGGTAGTCTATACTATTGGTCCACCTAAGTGTCAATCATTCTGGTGATATGTTTACGTAAGGCCGTCGTAGGCTACGTGCTCATCCCTATGTAGTTTTCACTTTCAGGTGTATTATGTCAGAGTTACGGTTTCAGCCATTCCTTTGAAAATGGGTGAGGGTCGAAAGAGAAAAAATGTTTACGAAGTGTATGATAAGAGGAGAAAGGCCGCAGAATATAGAAACAAGACCAGAGTGATTTTGGGTGAATATCACACGCTGGCGTGCGCTAAAAGCACAGGTTGGGCTTCTCATTGATGCCGCAGTCGCGAAGATTCTACCAGACAGGTAAAGTTTGTCACGCTATTTGGAGAAATCCATTTAAAATCACTAGTAAAAGTTAATGCAAGCTACAATGCTAGCCCTGGCACGAGTCATGCACCGCATAGACACGGTAAACATCTCAATTTGTCTAAAGTAGCCTTTTGTCCAAAATGGTAAATGGTGTCACGCTGAAATATTCTAAAACCTTGTGTGTTTATTATTACACAAATGCAACAAGCTACTTCTCCATATGCAACTATGTATAAAAATAACGTATTAACAATGAGAGATATTAGGTTAAGGACCAACGTAATAGCACTGCTTATATGTTGCTATGTAACGTAATTGCGATTTGCAAAATAGTTTCCTCAGAACGTATTTCGTGTGATACAGGGTTGCACATATCATGTCTTGAGTCCTCGGTCACTCAATCGATCAGTATAATAAGTAAATAAAACACGGAAGGGCATTTGACATGTTGTCTTTTTTATGAATATTTTTGAGTTAGTTTAGAATTTGCAACATAATTGTGCAAGGCGTAATAGACGTTCCCTCTCAGGAGCAAGAGTGTTGTGTTTGTGCATGTGCATTTTTTTTAAAAATTGGAGAGGGCGGGTCTTCTCTAAAATTCGGAAAGATCCTCCGCTATACCTTTAATCCATTTAGGTTTAGTCAACTTAATTCTATCTGTGATCCGAGGAAGAGTACTCCCAGAGTGCATTGCGGCATGAATAAATTAATTGCTTTGTTTTACTATTTTTGGCTTTATTTTACCATTACAATTTTATTTGCTATCGTTTTTGGGGTTATACTGACAAGAGACAGCTAATAAAATTGTAATGTCTAATTAATGAAATGATTTATTTTTTTAAATGTTACCACTGTTGTGGTAAACATAATGAATGTTGAAGTCAAGGAAAATTGCAAGACATTGTCACAAATATAGAGGGATTATATCAACCCAATTAAAGAGTTATGCCGTAAGTGTTGGCAATATAATGTTACAAGACCATTATTATACATGAAATTTATTTATGTTATATATAATGAATAAATTAATTAAAAATATAGAATTAATTCATATATATATATATATATATATATTTCTTCACTTCCTTTGAAATCAAATAATTGTGATTCCATGTTGCATCAATGCAATCAATTGGAAGAGAATTACAATGATATATATTAAGTTCCAACTTCCAAGTGCCCAACCAAACGGAACATCAATCACAATAATGGTAAGAGAAGGGAAATCAACAAGTCAACTAAAGAATTTTGATGTTCTCACAAAATATGTAAACAAATTATTGGACATTAAGTAAAGTTAACAAAAAAATTCTTAGTAAGAACAATGTTAGATTTTACAGTGATATTTAAAGTTAAATCCACACACAGAAATTCACTCTTTCAGAGGCCCATTACTCTAGGATTTTTTATAATTCCACAGAAATGCACACATCTGTGCATTGTTTCCTTAACAGTGCTCTTACTTTCGAATTGCACACATCTGTGGGGGGTGAGGGGGGGGGTGGGGGGTGGGGGGGGTTTAGTCCTCACCTTTTGAACTGTGCTGGGTTCTCCTATATCTCGGACTCTCTGTTCTTGAGCCAAAAGGTCTCAAAATGTTAATCTACCTGCATTGTAAAATGAACACATGTACAATAAGCATGTAGCATGCACAGGGACATACAAAAATAAAAACACAGAATCATACACACATTTTTTTTTCTGTGCATTCTGCTAACAGGTTACTGTACACACATTTTTTTTTAAATAAACCCACCAAATTTGTATTTACATCACAAGTTTTTTTAAGGTTAAATGTTTAATCAGTCATTGTCTATCAGTCATACACTGGAGGCGAAGGGGGTCCACCAGCATGCACAAAGAAGTCAACATTCAACATGATTTAATGACTTGCAAATGTAAGTACACATTGATGGCCTAAGACACGAAACGAGCGGTTTGTGTGAGAAAACGAACAGTATTTATATAGTTTTACCTCTTGTAATCACAGCCATGACGAAATGATCTGACGGCACGGGCGCTTTGGTCTGCGCATGCGCCGGAAGTGATCGCTTGCGCGCCTACGTCACTCTTTGTTTATACAGAGATTTCGGAAGTTTTACCTTTCACTAAACATATTTATATATACGGGAAACCGCAATGGAAGAAGATTTCGATATATCTAAATATGTTTAGTGAAAGGTTAAACTTCCGAAATCTCCGTGTAAATATTGAGTGACGTCACACTCAAGTGATCACTTCCAGCGTAACATTGAACTGATTCAGTTCGGTTCAGTTGGACATTGAACAACTGATTCAGATCACTTGGACGTCACTGTGATTACACGAGGTAAAAACGATAAATACTGTTCGTTTTCTCACAAAAACCGCTCGGTTCGTGTCTTAGGCCACCAATGTACTTACATTTACGAGTCATTAAATCATGTTTCATTTTGACTTCTCTGTGCATGCTTTTTGGTGGACCCCCTTAGCCTCCAGTGACTGATAGACAACAACGGTTTGACTGAAAAATGTCAAAATTGAAAATACTGTGGAAACAAAGACACCTACATCTTGGATCCCCATGAGGTAAACATATCAAAAATTAATTTCAAAGTGAACTATCCCTTTAATGCAATACTGGGTGCTGCTTTGCAGGTTGTTCTTACTAAAATACAGTCACATTGAAGGTAATGTTGAATAGCACAGTAAACAGTATAAACAGTATATAACAGTATATACTGGTTTCAAAAGTCCAAAGACCAGTTTTATTGTTTTCCTGACCTGACCTGACTCACCTAAACCACAGCAATCTCAAACATGCCCACCCACAAACACTCTGCAAAAAATGTAAAGCAGAAAAATGAAGCGAGCGTGCCAGAGTTTTGTTTGTTTTGTTTGCGAGAGAGTTTTGAACATTTTACAGCTAGAGTTGCACCTTCATCATAACTATAAGTTTGCATGAGGATTTGCAGCCTTTTGTTTTGTGCAAATGTAACTTCTGGATTCTGGAATATTGTGTTTATTTATATAGGATGCATTTGGTTAAGAATTAACTTAGTAAAGTGTGCCGGAGATCAGCTTCAGCAGCTCATAACATTACATAACATTATTAAGAGAACAATATTGATGTTAATTGTGAATTATTTGGGTTTAGTTTTTGTTTTTAGCACGTGTTCCAGGAAGAGCATGTCCACAACAGCACACATTTTGACAAGCATGCATCTGAAGCAGCGTTGCAATGTAATAGTTAGATGCATTATATTTGATTATTAAATCTGCATAGTTTTTCCTCTTTGACGGCATCTCTATACGAAATCTGCAATTGTTATTTGCAGCATTATCAACTTTACGTACGTTGTGCCTCGACATGGCACTAAGCAGATGAATCAAATGTTTTGAGAAATGTTGAGAAATCCATGTAAAAGAATGTGTTTATACTATTATTCGGAATCACACATTCTACTTTTTGGAAGTATGACCAACATAAGAATTTAAGTAAATAACATCCATTTTTTTCTGACCAACTAAGGGGAAAAAAGCATTGCTGTAAATTGCGCTGATTAAATCTAACAATCGCTTATCATAGCACTTCTTCAAATTGTTAATGTTAACAACGTCAGCAATGCGTGAATACATTTAATGCCCTTCAGATATTTATCCTTGGTTTCACATGAACCGGTGGCAGTCTCTTTTGCTCTGTAGGCACTAAATCAGTCACAAGTGTTGTGAGAAAAGGCAATATAAATCTCCACCTCCAGCATCCTCATATACGCATTAGCTTATACTAGCCGAGACTCTTTCTTTATGTGTACAGATGTGACGTAATGACTCATTATAAAATGGTTTGTTCGAATCCTTGATTCTGATTGGTCAAGAACTGTGCTTTATTCACGATAAAACGCGGCTATGACCGCTTCGGTTCCTATGTTGTTTTTATTTGAGCTTTCATGCATTTTACACATTGGAACGTTGTTGCTGTTCACACTCAGGGACTATTTTTTTTCTAGTGGAAGGAAGGCTTTTAGTGATTTTACTTCAAGAAAGTTGCACTAATACATTGTTTTTTCTTTAATATTGTGTAGTAACCGTTTTATAAAAGCAATAACGTACTTGAGGCAAGTGCTGTATCGTGAATAAGTAACGGCTGAAGGGGCCCTTCAGCCGTTACTTATTCACGATACAGCCTCTAGTACCTTATTGCTTACATATAGCTTATACTAGCCGAGACTCCTTCTTTAGAACACATTATTAGCTGTTTGAGAATGTAGTCATTCCAAAGGCTAATCATATAAATTACAATTTACACAAATTCCCATGATCGGGCGTCGTTCAATTAACAATACTGCAATATGCGTCTACTGCAGAAACATATAACCAACAGCAAGTCAGAGTGTACAAATGCTGCTCAAAACGCCTTACCAAATGAATGAGAAGTGTTTTTAATCTAATGCATGTAAATACAGTCAAAGTGAAGGTATAAACATGCGGGTATAAACATTCCGTATAAACATGCGCAGTGCCTATAAACTGCATTCAAAAGTCCAAAGACCAGTTTTATTGTTCCCCTGCCTTTGTTACTTTGACCACACCCAAACCAGAGCAAACTCAAACTCAAATACACCTAACATCTTGCTGTCATGGCCATAGATATACATAATAAAGGCCTTTTTTAAATTTAAAATTTATCCAAAATACATATTTGAGAAAATGCATAACCAGCCAGTGTTTAAAACTATCTGCTTGCCTTAGCTCGATTCAAAGTACGCTCTTGTAATAATGTTTTTAATTCCAGACTGTGGTACTGGTGGATTTCCACGGGAGATTCGAGCATTGTCTTTGCATCATTACGTCACATCTGTACAAATAAAGGAGTCTCGGCTAGTATAAGCTACAGTATATTGAGTCATTACGTCACATCTGTACACATAAAGAAGGAGTCTCGGCTAGTATAAGCTATACTGAGTCATTACGTCTCATCTGTAGAAACGGCATGAACGGGAAGATCACTATTTCAGAGTCAGAGCCTTCTAAAAATCTGTATCCTAGAAATAAGGATAGAAAATACCCACATAATGACAAGATTGGTTACAAGTTTGTGACGGTAGGATAGTATGGTACACTACAGTTTTAAGGAGAAAATACTTAGCAATGGTGCTGTTGACCCATGAATACATACATGGTTTGGCATATTAAAAACACCACACATAAAAGCATTAAGAACTTGATTTTCACAACTGGTGTTTTTTTTTTAACTGACTATAATGATAAATTAACATCATTAAATGGCATTAAGTGATACATGATGATAAATGCCATTTACCGAGCCTTCATTTACTTTCATCTAACAGAAAGATTTTATCTGTACATGAAAATCAAGTCTATTCAAACAATTCAAACACAAAGGTACACCTTTGTATCTTATTTACTTTTAAAGGGTGCATACAGTAATAATGCCTTAAAGGTATATTAGTACCTTTTGAAAAGGTATCGCCCCAGTAACAGCTTTTGTACCAGTGTACAGCTCATACAAACTATGACATTCCTTTGAGGTTAGACACATCCTCATTGTACTGCTGAATCATCGCCCTGCAGATGTTTGGGACAGTCTAGTAAAGTCAATCTACAGAAAAGTGTATAATCTAAAAGCCCATCAATGAAAGTTAAGCTTTCACATATACAGTAGTAAACTTTTGAAATGGTTAAAAAAAAAAATCATTAAAGTTGTCCTATGACAAGAACGGGTATTTTGTTCAAAATTCATGTATAACTTTGATGAAAGGTTTTGATCCACTTCAAATGTTGACTACTGTGTGCATGTGTGTGTGTGTGTGTGTGTATATATATATATATATATTAATGCGAAGACAAAAACATTTCAAACCTCTACCAATGCAGCACTTAAGGCTTTTATTTGCATTGTTTCTCTAATTTATTTACTTTAGTATTTAAATAATTAATAAATCGGCTAAATTTAAATAACATTTATAGAAAATAGTTTAAATATAACACCTACTAAACAATTAGTATAGCTACAGCTTGATCAATGAAATTTAAAGTGAAGGTAGGAACACTTCCGTATAAACATGTGCAGTGCCTATAAACTGCATTCAAAAGTCCAAAGACCACTTTTATTTTTCCCCTTCCTTTGCAGCCCATTCTCACCCCCAAGGCGTCACCTAACTGACGCCTGGGAAGCATTTGACCATGCTTCAATATCTGACGCTTTAGGCACCCTTTAGCGTCAGTTAGATGACGCCCTAGGATCACGTGTACCCTACCCCCACCCTAGACCTAAACCTAACCGCGTCATCTAACTGACGCTTTCCTTTAGCCATAGGAGCGCCTAAAACATCAAATATTGAACCATGGTCAAAGGAGACGCCTTGGGGTGAGAATGTGTTGTCCTTTGTTACTTTGACCACACCCAAACCAGAGCAAACTCAAACACACCCAACACATCTTGCTGTCATGGCCATAGATATACATAATAAACGCCTTTGTTATGTATATCTAAGATCATGGTAACCATTCTGTGTGTGTAATAAATAGGGGCAGTACAGCAAAGAAGACTATAAAGCGGATCTGGCTATTTGTCTCCCCCTTGATTTTCACATATGGGGTCTTTAAATTTGGATTCTTTTGAAAACTGACTATAATGATAAATTAACGTCATTAAGTGGCATTAAGTTATAAATTATGATAAATGCCATCTACCGAGTCTTCATTTACTTTCATAAAACTGAACGATTTTATCTGTACATAAAAATCAAGTCTATTCAAACACTTTCTTAAATTTCTACATTTTTACTAAAGCTGTCACTGGAGTATTACTCTTTCAAAAGGTACACCTTTGTATCTTATTTACTTTTAAAGGGTGCATACAGTAAAAATGCCTTGAATGTATATTAGTACCTTTTGAAAAGGTATCGCCTCAGTAACAGCTTTTGTACCAGTGTACAGCTCATACAAACTATGACATTCCTTTGAGTTTAGACACATCTTCATTGTACTGCTGAATCATATAAGAAAGTTGTACTAAGACAAGAACGGTATTTTATGTATAACTTTGATGAAAGGTTTTAATCATCTTAAAATGTTGACTACTGTGTGTGTCTGTGTGTGCATTTATGTATATATATATATATATATATATATATATATATATATATAAGAAATTAACGTGAAAACAAAACATTTCAAAGCTCTTATATAGTCTACCAATGCAGCATTTAAGGATATTCAATAGGATATTCAAATTTTATTTGCAATTTTCTCTGAATTATTTACTTTTGACAAGTATTTAAATAATTAATGAATAGGCTAAATTTAAATAACATTTATAGAAAGTAGTTCAAATATAACACCTACTAAACAATTAGTATAGCTACAGCTTGATCAATTAAATTTTGAGCAGTACTTACCCTGGAAATCTTTTTTAATGCGAGGCTAAATGCTGCTTTGCAGGTTCTTGTTACTAAAATATGCATGTAAATACAGTCACAGGGAAGGTAGTGTAGAGGAACACTTCCGTAAAAACATGCGCAGTGCCTATACCACACCTAAACCAGAGCAAACTCAAACACGCCCAACACATCTTGCTGTCATGGCCATAGATATACATAATAAAGGCCTTTATTATGTATATCTGTGGTCATTGCAACCATTCTGTATGTGTAATTCACAGGAGCAGTGAAGCAAAGAAGACTTTCTTTGCTGATTTTCTTTGCCCCAACTTCCAAGAGCATTCCAAGACTTCTTTTCTTTGCTCAACTTCCAAGAGCATCATGGCCCTTTGGCAGGGTAGTATGCCTCTTACCTAGTCAGGATGGGCGTTTCAGAGTAGCTGAGATTGATACTAATGGAAAGATGTATGTAAGTCCAGTTGCTAAGTTGATTCCATTAACTGAAATTGATGAGTAATAGCAAATACATGACTGTATTTGGGGGCAGCTGTTGTGAATTTGGTCCTCTAAAGGAACACCAGGGAACTTTTCAACCTTCATAATATATTTCCAAGTCTCTTGTGATGGTACATCTACTTACAATAGGTTGAATGACACGTCTGCCATAGCCTGACGGGGTCTGTAGCGTTTTTAATCGTACTTTTAAACGTTGGGTTTCGGGTAGTAACCCGGCGAACAAAGAGAACGAATCGGTTACCTAACGTAACCTCGGTTCTCTCTAGATGAGGGAACGAGTATTGCGTAAGCTAGCTTATGCTACGGGAAAGATTCATCTTTGCTGAGAAGTTGAAGCCAAAAAATTATTCCATAATTTTGTAATCATTGACTACGCAGTATCTCTGAGGCAGACCATGAGCGGGGCTAGCTAGCAGCTCATTGGTTCGCTCAGAGAAAATGCACGAGCCTATGGGAGAGCGGCGCTGAGCCCGCGGTCAATGAGCGGACGGCGCTCGCTCATTGCGTCAGAGCCCGCCGAAAGGGGCGTGGCTATAGTGTATAAAACTGGCTCTCCCAGACTCAGTAGTCGATTTCTTTCAGCATGAAGCGAAACGCTGGTGGCGCAAGCACGGCCGGGAACGCAATACTCGTTCCCTCATCTAGAGAGAACCAAGGTTACGTTAGGTAACCGATTCATTCTCTTACGAGAGATTCTCTCGTATTGCGTAAGCTAGCTTACGCTACGGGAACATCTGGTCAACGCCGTGCGCGCTATGTAACCACTAAGCATCCCAGGGGGAAAACACCGGAGGAATCTTAAAGTGGAAGAAGACAATAAGGCGGCCAGCATAGCGGCCGTCATCATCTAATGCATACGCCCTTAAGGCGGCCGGCATAGCGGGCCGTAAACGCATAATGCATAAGCACCTAGGGGGAAGCACAAGGGGCGAACCGGTTGTGATAGGACTCCCAATAGTGCAGCTTCTTATAGGAGAGCTGTATAGTACTAGACCGCCAGTAATTTAGCCTTTAAGGCGGGGACTTCCAAGTTATAGAATCTGACAAAAGTGGAGGGGGAGGCCACACAAATGTCGTGAATGGAAATTCCGCAGGACCATGCCCACGATGAGGCCATGCCTCTGGTGGAATGAGCCCTGACGCCCAGCGGGCAAGGCAGGTCTTTTGAGGCGTAAGCAGAGGCAATAGCATCCACTATCCACCTAGACAGTGTCTTTTTAGAGGCGGCTAGACCCTTGGTGCGGCCGCCGAACGACACAAACAGCTGCTCCGAGCGTCTAAACGCAGCAGCGCGTGTAGTGTACACTCTCAGAGCCCGGACCGGGCAGAGGCGATCAGCATCACGTTCGCTATCGGATGCAGGCAGCGCCGATAGAGAAATCACTTGCGCCCTGAAGGGGGTACCAATCGCTTTTGGAACATAACCGTGTCTAGTGAAGGGGTGGTCAAAATCCCTTGCCTCTTCAGTATATATTTCATAATATCATTTTGAATGATTATGTATTTCTTTTATAAAATCAATAATTAAGTATATTCATTGTTACTTAATCATTTATTGACATAAATGTATTCTTTGTGCTTTTGCTTGTGAAATAATATTCTTAAATGCATGCTGATGTACATGCACAAGTCACCAGCTTCTTTTAGGTGCACAAGGCCATTTGTCTCTTTCTCTGGTCTCAGGAGAAAGGTTTATGGATCATAAAGGCGTCGTGAACACATATGTCCAACACATATGATACTTCTCTGTACCGATGGTCAAGCTCTATTGAGCATTGCTTTATTGAACTTTAATTGTTATATTAAACTGTATTCTTTCTATTATATTTGCTTTCTGAGAAGCAAATGTTATCTGTTTTTCTCCCAAACAAAGTGAATGTTTTACCATTATGTTTTGGTACACTTAACTGATAATAAGACGCTCAGACTCTCTTCAGCCTTGATGGGAGCTCCTATTTGCTAGTGTCCTATGTGAATGCACTGCAGTAACAGTGAAAATAATAGGGAAATAGGGATTTGGTTTATGTTTGAGTGTTAAAACATAAAGGGGTCATTGAATCCAACAGTTTAAGGCACTATTTCTTTGTTGAAGTCTTACTCCAGTTAGACTAAAGTTTAGTGCTAGTCTTCTTGGTTGCAGGTTAAGCAACCACTGCCATTATTGGAGATTGAATGAGTTGTTGTTCTGGACACACTGGCGCCAGCAACCCAAATCTGTGACCTGGAAGGTCATGACGTGCCTCATCGATGGAGATATGTTTCGTCTATCTGTATATGTGTGGAAAATTACTGTTTATCTATATCGTAGCCAATGAGAATCATTCAACGTGTAAGCAATGACGTAGCTTAGACCTTGAAAATGGTATAACTGCTGTGATTGTTGTAACTGAAGGGGCGCGGCCTACGAACTCCTGAGTGAGTCTTGAAGCTGACTTCTGCTGATGAAATGGCAAACTATGTTTAGTAAAACTTTCTTTAATTTTTTATAATTCTGACTCCGGGTCTTCATTATTCATATCTGGTTCTGGGTCCTTAAACTGTTAACCCCTAACACTAGGTTTAAGAATGACAATGGAGTCATTAGCTCCATGATTAGCTCGTCTTTGCCCAAAGACTGGGCGCGCCGGGGTTCAATGAACGCCGCGACGGCTGCCACGTAAACCTTTAGAGTGGATGGAGACCTGCCCTTATCCAGCATCTCCTGAAGGAACACGAGCAAAGACGAAACCTCGCACGTCCGTGGGTCCAAGTTTTTGTTGGTGCACCATCTAGAGAACACAGACCATTTTGCAGCATAGAGCTTTCTAGTAGATTCCGCTCTGGCATGTTTGATCGTGTTCAGGACTCCTTCTGGCAAATCGACGAGTAGTCGTTGGTCACCCATGCATGAAGCGCCCAGCGCTGTGGATGCCAAATCGTGCCGCGAGCTTGAGTGAGGAGATCTGCTCTGATTGGAATGGGCCACGGGGCTGTCAGCGACAGCTGCGTGAGCTCCGGGAACCAAATCTGATTCTCCCAGCGCGGGGCTATGAGGAGCACTGGGTGGCGTGTGTCCCTGATTCTCTGAATGACCTGCGGTAGCAGAGAAATCGGGGGAAAAGCATAGAGCGGGCGGCGGGGCCAATCCTGGGCTAAAACGTCATCGCTCTTTGAAAAGAATATCAGGCAGTGAGTGTTCTCTTCTGACGCGAAAAGATCTATCTCTGCTCTGCCTAATAGGCGCCACAATGTTAGAACTGTTTGAGTGTGCAGGGACCATTCTCCGGGGGAGACAAGATTCCTGGACAGCATGTCTGGACCGTCGTTCAGATGGCCCGGTACGTGCGTCGCTCTGAGCGAAAGCAGGTGACTCTGGGACCACAATAGGATGCGGCGCGTCAGATGAAAGAGATTCTTGGATCTGACCCCGCCCTGACGGTTGATGTAGGACACCACGGCCATATTGTCTGAGCGAATCAGGACGTGGTGACCGTGTATGCGCGGGAGGAAAAACAGCAGCGCGTTCTCGACCGCGATCATTTCCAGACAGTTTATGTGTAGGGAACTCTCCTGGCTTGACCACTGGCCGGCGGCCGGTGAGCCCTCGCAGACCGCACCCCAACCCGTGTTGGATGCATCTGTCGAGATGACTTTTCGGCGAGAAAAGGTTCCCACGGTAGCGCCCCTCTGAAACCAATCGGTTACTGACCATGGTTGCAGTGCAGTGATACATGTCTGTGTAACCTTGATAATCTGGCGGCCCGTAGTCCACTCGCGGTGGGATACGTGGCTCTCTAACCAGAGTTGAAGGAGGCGCTTGTGCAGGAGACCCAGATGTAGCACAGTGGAGGCTGAGGCCATATAACCCAGTGTAACAAAGTTCTTAATAGATGTACAGGAAGAAGGAGACAGGGTCGTCGATACTGGGACTTGTACGGACTTTATTAACTCAGAATCAAACAAAACAACAGGGGCGCACAAAACGCATTCACCGTAGTTTCCTACAGCACAGTCCAACTTCACTCCAACTCTTTCCACGCTGAATCAGCTCTCGTTCCTTTCTCCTGCACATTTTCTCTCTGTCCCAGCACAAGTCCCAGTCCTTTCTCTCTCCCTGTCCTTCTCCCACTGTGCTGGTTTTAACCGTCTCCCCACACCAATCACTGCAATCAGACACAGATGTTATCAATTGTCCTTGATCCACTTACTCACCACACAGCCCCTTGACTCATCTCTCTGTGCAGACAGCGCGCAAACCACACCCCCCTCACCACATACCCCCACCGCCCGACTCAGGCCAGGGAACCGTCCGGCCTGCAGACCCCCCCCCCCCCCCTCCTGGAGAGGAAGACGGCCACAGCCATCTGCGCCCCCGGCCTGTGGACCACCTGAAACTTAAAAGGTTGTAACGCCAGATACCAAAGGGTGATCCGTGCGTTGGTATCTTTCATGCGGTGGAGCCACTGCAAGGGAGCATGGTCCGAACACAGGGTGAACTCCCGTCCCAGGAGGTAGTAGCGGAGGGTGAGGACAGCCCAGCGGATGGCCAAACACTCCTTCTCAATGGTGCTGTACATCGTCTCTCTCTTAGAGAGCTTC